TCATATATATATATATATATATATATATATATATATATATATATATATCAAAATAAAACACAATTCACAAAACCAAAGAGAGAAAATGCCTTTAATCGTTGAAGTATTTCAGATTGATTCCAAGCTTCGTGTTCACCAAGAACAAGAGAAGAACATGAACCAGTTTTTGTAGCCAACAAGTTAAAAGGATCCAATCTTTGTAACCTTCGAGTTATGAGAGTCACCAAGGCAAAACTCGAAGGTTTCATACATTTTACTCCATGATAGAAGTGATGAGGAGGGCTGTCTTGTTGAAGAGGTCTTTGGATTTCAGATGGGAATCGTTATAGCACTGACATAGTCTATGGAAACTAGACGTGTTATGTCACCTAACTTCACTTCATCCCAATGCAACATAGATAGGATGTCCAGGAAGGAAGTGATATGTGCCTAGAAGAACACATTTTGTCACAGTTCTCTTCTATATGGCCTCATCAACAGGATGTTTCATGTCAATCAACGTGAGCATCGGTGTCAGGGAGTGAGCAGTTGGCGATGAAGAAAAGATGAAGAGCCAGCTTTAACTAGCTCTACTCTGAAGATGTTGCAACGGAGGAATGATACACTGATCTTTTCCAGAGAAACAAATCAGTTAAGATTAATGTTGAGATGAAAATAGAAGATCCTGAGATATAGAAGATGAGAGAGAAGAACATACATTGGCAATGTTAGTAGCAAAATGTATAATGTATACTCCTTTGGTAAAATAAAAGTTAAAAAGAGTTTTTGAACCAAAATAAAATCATAGTAAACTAAAATTTTAGCAGCTTATATTCAGAAGTTTTAAGATAGCAAAGCATAATGTAAAGTCATAAAGTAGCATTGTCAAAAACAAGAACAATCAAATCATATAAATGTTGTTGTCCCTGAGTGCAGTGAGCACACTTTTTTTCTTAGAGTAAAAAACCTTTCCTTCATTGCAATCAAAGAGAACCTTGTAACCAACGTCACAAAGTTGAGTGATTGAGATAAGATTGCTTTTTTGACCCTTGACCTAGAATACATTCTTCAATTTGAACGACCTGCACTCAAATGTTCTAACGCACATGACAGCTCCTTCACTATTGTCACCAAAAACCACCATCAGACCACCTTTCTCCATAAAATCTGTTAAGAGGGATTTGAGACCAATCATGTGTCTAGAGCATCCACAGTCAAGGAACCAAGTATGTTCGGTATTCTGACTTGACTCTTTGATAGATTGAGATATATTAGTGTCACACATGTTGAGATCACCATTAGACCACCTTGCTCCTGGTGATCTAGGTGTATGATGTGGTTTTCCATTGGGTGGTCCTCCTTGGATTTTTTGGTAGTGCGAACCAACTCCGAGGCTATGAGGATTTGGTGGCAGATTTTCCGACATGACAAGCTAGTGACGATTGTGGTTGAGCCCGTACATGTGATAAACTTAACTGTTCCGTGGAAGGTTGACAGTATTGGTTGTAGTTGGAACAACGATGGTCGTCCCAATATGATGTTTTGTTCTGTCTGGTAGCTTATTACATAGAACTTGATTGCCCGTGTTACACTTTCTTACCCATCATGGCTAACTAGCGTGGGGAGGGGGGGGGGGGAGTTGTACGGTGCCTAGTGACCATAGGTTGTGCCATGTGAAGCCCACCAATGGGCCCCCTGTCGGTGGTTTTAGGTCTTCTTTCCAGGAGGTTGGTAGTTTCCTGAAGTAGTGTTCGTACAAGATGTCGGTGTTGCTGCCATTGTCTCTGTAGACGCGGTGGGTCCGCTTATGGTGTATGCATCCTGTAATGAGGAGCGGGACCGTGGGGTCCCAGTTGTGGGGATGTGAGTTTGTTGACAAGAAGTTGATGTTTATGATTCTCCGTGATAGCTCGTCTACGCCATTCTTGTGACAGCGTGTATGCTCGTTTCGCGACCTTTGATTGTTAAGGTTTCCCACTTTTGTCGGTCTTCGCCTGAATTTTGTTGCGGCTTGACGTTCTTCATACTGGTTTTGGTTTTGGTTGATCAGATGGCGCTGTTGACTGTTATGGTTGAGGACATCGTTGTAACGGATGACCAAGGTCACGGGTCGGATGTATGCCCCGACGCGAGACTATGGGCCAAAGCCACTCGCGCTAAGAGAAAATTGTGATTCATCATGGGCGAACCTAGAGCCGTCCGTGGGTTGCTTCGACATGTGTATACTAGGTTTGCCGGTAATCTGGTAGCGTGACATCTTTATCCACCATTGACGAAGTCTAGTGTCGTTTCACAGGTTATGTAGCTCTGAGTACACGTCCAGATGGCGGCAGATGCTGCAATATGTTCCCTAGACTTAACGTCACCTCGTATTGTCCCAATAGAGTTAAGCCTGAGAATCACAAAGCAGAAAAAAAATATTGTCAATCGTCATTTGGTAGGGGCTCCCGGAACGAAGCTCTGACGGTCAAGTCAGTGTCTGGTTGAGAGAGTATAGATTTAGCAAAATAGTGAGAGAGAGGTCCCCTTTCTCCTGAAGGAGAAGGGTTCTAAATATACATGTCATGGTGGGGACAAGGTCCTAACGATACCTTTTGGTCTCTGCTGGGCGATAGGACGTGCATGCGTCTCATTGATGGATCGTGCTCCACTAGTGGTTAGCTGTTGTTGGTGCAAAACTCCCAGTAAGTGTGACCCTGAGTACTACACTTGTCGCTCTAGGAGACGACTGATACTGTTTTGTATCTAATAAGGCTTCAGTGCATGGGCGCCAAGGAATAATCATGGGATCGCGAGGGCGAGGGTGCGGTCTCGGCGCTAGGCGTATGTCGATCTTTGACTACCACGCTTATCAGACGTGGGTCCCGATATGTTTGACGTATTCTTAGTGGGATGCGTTAACAGTATGCCTGATATCCTGTTCATATTTGCATATGTGGAGTGTTTTGTGTACGCATGTGTTTAAAGAACAAACCCATAAAAGGATGAAGAAAACGAACACAAACCCAAAGCTCAAACCCATAAATTGTTTATGTGTTTGTTTTCGCGCTCATTCCAATTTCTGAGCTCATTATGATTTCTAATGAAGATAAGATGAAAACAAAGTTCTAATGTTTATCACAATTTCTCTCCTATCTGCTTTTCTAATGTATTTTAAAAGCCCAGATGTGATGTATGTGTATTTAATATGAAAATCAAATTTTGAGTGTGATGTGAGTGTTCTAGATCTGAAAATCGAAACCTTGATTGTATGTGTTATAACTTGCCGGAAAAATCAGGGTGTTTGGAGACTCGTCGGAAAAGATGATCAGAGTCTCGTCGCAGCCGCCATGAACACCGGAAACCAGCAAAACTCACATCTATCGATCATAAGAATTGATTATTTACAAGATAACAAGTTTTTTTTTTTAAATATCCAATATCTAAATATATACAAAATGGAAAATATCTATGCTTTTAAGTCATTTTTCCCTTCATAAATTTATACCAAACCGTGATATATACAAACAAATAGACAACTTTTTTCAAGCAAAACAAACAAATATTTTGGAAAAGAATATAATACGTCAAATAAGTAAACTTACGAATACAAAACACTAACCCATCACCCATGTTTAATTACAATGATACCCTCAACATCTCCACACGACCACACCAATCAACGGAAAGCTCACAAATGACTCGCCGCCAGATTGGTCAAACAGAATCCGATACAACTGACGTATAACAATCGCAGTCATCTTCACAACACTCCTACTTCCATGGCCTAATGGAGAGAACGATAATGGCGATGATAATCAACAACAAAAGAATCCCAAAACATGTCCATTTCCTGGTATTCTTCTGCGTCTTTCTTGCCACCTGCAACTGTTGTGCACCGCCTCTCACAAACGAGTTCGCCCTATTAACATGGCTCTCGATGTCGTCTAGCTGCTCTCCTTGGCTCTCCACCAACACCGCCATGTCCATAAACACTTGATGCAGTTCCTTCAGATTCCTCTCTATCACTGTTACTGCATCATGGCGTTCTTGAATTTCCAATATTGTTTCCATCACCTGCCCTCTCCCTTGCTCCTGGATCGCTTTCTGTAAAAACGTCTCACTTTCTCCGGTGGAGATCAGGTTATCGACTGTACCCTCGTCGGGTTTTTCTCCGGTGACTGTGTAGTACCTTCGTTGGACAGTTTCACGATGCTCGGACGCCATTTTCAGACGGAGGTCGGTGAAAGATTTCATGGACGATTGAAGCTGCTTGCGAAGGCCGTTAACGACGGAGATTCGTGTACGGTCGGTGGAGCTTCCTGGACCGCAGCCATGGAGGTTCCGATTGGCTTCACTGGAACGATCAAGGGCCTCTAAACGGGTTTTGATGAGCTTCGCTTTTTTGAGAGATAAAGCGACGTCGTTGTCCATTTTCGTCCGGAGGTTTTTGATGGAAGTAGCATTGTACAGGCTTTTGCTTTGTTCATTTGATTCTTGCAGTTGATTATGGAGATTTTCAAGACCCTTTAGCTCTTCCTTGATCTCCTCCACATCTCCGAAGAATTTCTCGAGGTTTGTGCCGTCGGTTGTGGCGGCGTTACCCATCTCTATGTCGCTGACACGGCTGCCGGAAAAAGATCCGGAGAGTAGGTCGTTCATTTCGAATTTTAGGTCGATCGGTTCAAAATTATGCAAATTCAAAACGAAAACTGAAATGTAAATCGCTCAAAGACTTACTCGGATTAGAAGAACAAGAGTTTTGATTGAGATTGGGGGAGAATTAGAGTCGGCAAGTGAGATTTTATAAGATAGAGTTTTAAAATACGCGGTGGCCTTCATCGATGGCTGGCCGTGTCACGGAAAGTAGCAGACCAAGTCGTAAAGTAATGGCGGAGCCAATTGTCAAAATTTCAAAACCTTTGTTATTATTATTTGATTAAAAATATTACATACATGTGATTAAGGCAAAATTTTATTACCACCCCCTCTAGAAATATGATATCGATATTATGTCCCTCCATTATTATACTCAAACTTCACCTCCAAGAAGAATATACAAACTATTCCTTATTAGAAAAACTTGAATTAATTTTTTGTGGATATACTTCTTAGGATAAAACTAATGCAAACTTAGAAGAAATTTCTTGAGGTAGTAACCAATATTTCATTTTCTTTTATTTTAGGCGATAAAATTTTCGTTATTCAACTATGGTTAACTACGAATATGTTGTATTAATAGACAAAAATTATATGAAACCTAATGTATAATGGTAATCATCTATGTGAATATTTACGGGTGGTCGGAGGAGGGTTTGGTACATTCGGAGGTGGCTCACTAATCATTTCTTGATGGCTTACTTGGTAAAGCATGTGGAAGATGTTGCTTACTATTTCATTGCCGCATGTTCAAATCTTGGGATTAAGATTCAGGATTGGCCAAGAGAAGGGTGTCACACCCCCGAACCGGGACGACGGAAACGTCCGGGGGCGGATGACTTCATGTACAGTATCATAACAATTGAATATGAATGCAACATAGCAACCAAACATCATACATTGGAAATGCACACTTACATAGTTTAGATATTGAACTTGTTCATCAGTTACATAAAAGTAAGAAAGTAAAATTTCTTGAAGTCGCATCACTTGATCTCATAGTCGAGCTTATTACTTGCTACTGGATCCTTGAGAATACAAATCGTTTTGAAAAGCGTCAACTAAAAAGTTGGTGAGTTCATAAGCATTTTTGTATAAAATTGTTTTGTACTCGTTTAGAGTAGTTCTCATAGTGTTTTCAGAAAATCCGATATTTTCTATAAAATAATTTGTAAGTCTCGTTCTAAAACTGTGAATATATGCATGCCCGTCCTAGGTTATCTTTTGTTTGCAAAAGTGAAGCGAACATTCCCAGAAAATCCGATATTTTCTAAAAAGAAATGGTTTGAAATATTTGTGTCCGATCTTATATTAATGCACGTGTGTTAATGTTTGCGAGAAATAGAAAGAGAATGATCCCAGATAACCCGATGTTGTCTCTGTAAGAAAATGTTGGAATCTCAACCCCCGAGGTTGAGTACCAGCGCGTATAAGTTACCGTTTTATCCAAAAAGAAGGTTTCCCGTAAATTTTATAACGTTAATTCCTCTAAGTGAGTCGCTATAACCATACTAGATAATGACAATTTCGCCTGTCATAGCGTTGTTGGACGCCGACGGAATAGAATAAGGTTTTTGTCACCCTAGATTGGCCTAGTCTAACGGTAGCGAACAACTCAGGTGTAGGGTGTCACCCCCGTATAGATCTATATACAAACTCCCTCTCTCCCTCCAGGAGACTCTGGTTATAACTACAGGCTACGATCGTACACTCAATAGGTGTCAACCGACACGTCTCACTAGATCCTTAATCGAATTTACGCGGAAAAAGAAAGAAAAACATATAAGGTATATTCCAGGCCCAATAAACATGTAAGTGGACAACTAAGGCCCACTAAACATGTATATTATTTCATATGAATGTATATCCCGGGTCCAATATACATGTAAAAGGACAACTAAGGCCCACTAAACATGTAAAATGACACTAAGGCCCACTAAACATGTAAAAGGACACTAATGCCCACTAAACATGCAAAATGACACTAAGGCCCACTAAACATGCAAAAGGACACTAAGGCCCACTAA